AAATAATATTTACTTAAAAGGACAAAATATGGTAATATTAGTAATAAAAAAAGAAAATCGGAGAGACCGAAGATACAACGTTAATATCAATTAATATGTTAATATCAATTACCTAAAGAGTGAATGAGAAGTAATGAAAAATATAAAGAGAGAAAGTGAACGAGGAATAATAAAAAGTATAAAGATAATAAAAAATAATGAAGAAATATTTATTGCCAAGGAAAGTGATGCAATAAATGCAAATAATGTGAAATGGAATAGGTATTTGTTTCGATCCATTAAGTCGTATGCAATGTTTCAGACTCGTAACTTCCGACCACAGCCCCTTTAAATTTACATGTATGGTGACTGTCACGCATGCGAAGAAATACGTTAAATTGAGTTGATCTAGGGCGTAGTTTCCAGATGCAGAGATACCTGATGCTAACTTAGAAGACAATCATGTGATCTTCAAAAGCATACATATATGTTATAATGATGTTGTAATAATGAGTGTAAATTTTGTAGCACGATTCGCCATGGCGCAATACGATACCGGCATTGGATTCGGTGCGACACGCGTTATACGAGCCGCTACGGTACCATATTCTGGCACTCTATGCTCGCCTGGGCCGTCATTGAAATAAAAAATGCCTGTCGTTTTTGTTCTGTTTTGTTTGATTCGAATGATTTCTGTCTACGCTGCTGCTGCTGCTAGCTAGCTAGCTGCATCATCACTGACCTGTGTGTGTGTTTGTGGATCTTCTCTTTTGTAATGTCATTTTAAATGCGGGAAATTCATCCGGTGTTTTTGCGGGAAATTCATTGCCGGTACGTGATTTGATGTCGGGTTCATTTGGCAAAATTGACAGGCATATAACTTAAAACTAGTCTATGATTGCTTCTGAATCTGAAAACTGATTTTTTCTTTTTCGAGAAATACTGATCATTTATGACATCAATTCCCAGTCCTGAACGGTGAATACGTGGATGTGCCAAATGCCGGTGTGTTCCGAGGGAGCGCGTTTTTATTTGATACAACGAATTTTGTTCGTTTGTAATTGTATTAATCTGTGATGATGTCCCCTTTGTGTTCGCGTTCCCTGTGTAATATTATTTATATTTATATGATTGATTGTGTGTGCATGGAGCTGCTGGTCAGGTGTCCACCC